GGTGGTAGTGGAGAAGGCTGGTGGTAGTGGAGGAGGCTGGTGGTAGTGGGGAGGCTGGTGGTAGTGGAGGAGGCTGGTGGTAGTGGAGGAGGCTGGTGGTAGTGGAGGAGGCTGGTGGTAGTGGAGGAGGCTGGTGGTAGTGGAGGAGGCTGGTGGTAGTGGAGGAGGCTGGTGGTAGTGGAGGAGGCTGGTGGTAGTGGAGGAGGCTGGTGGTAGTGGAGGAGGCTGGTGGTAGTGGAGGAGGCTGGTGGTAGTGGAGGAGGCTGGGTGACAGTGGGAGGAGGGGCTGGGTAGTGGAGGAGGCTGGTGGTAGTGGAGGAGGCTGGTGGTAGTGGAGGAGGCTGGTGGTAGTGAGGGGATGGGAGCTGGAGGCTGGTGGTAGTGGAGGAGGCTGGTGGTAGTGGAGGAGGCTGGTGGTAGTGGAGGAGGCTGGTGGTAGTGGAGGAGGCTGGTGGTAGTGGAGGAGGCTGGTGGTAGTGGAGGAGCTGGTGACAGTGGAGGAGGCTGGTGGTAGTGGAGGAGGCTAGGTGGTAGTGGAGGAGGCTGGTGGTAGTGGAGGAGGCTGGTGGTAGTGGAGGAGGCTGGTGGTAGTGGAGGAGGCTGGTGGTAGTGGAGGAGGCTGGTGGTAGTGGAGGAGGCTGGTGGTAGTGGAGGAGGCTGGTGGTAGTGGAGGAGGCTGGTGGTAGTGGAGGAGGCTGGTGGTAGTGGAGGAGGCTGGTTTAGTGTGTGTAGTGAGGAGGTGGTGTGGAGGAGGCTGGTGGTAGTGGAGGGTGGAGTGGAGTTGGTAGTGGAGGAGGCTGGTGGTAGTGGGAGGAGGAGGGGTTGGTAGTGGAGGAGGCTGGTGGTAGTGGAGGAGGCTGGTGGTAGTGGAGGAGGCTGGTGACAGTGGAGGAGGCTGGTGGTAGTGGAGGAGGCTGGTTGGTAGTGGAGGAGGCTGGTGGTAGTGGAGGAGGCTGGTGGTAGTGGAGGAGGCTGGTGGTAGTGGAGGAGGTGTGCTGGGGGTGGTTAGTGGAGGAGGCTGGTGACAGTGGAGGAGGCTGGTGGTAGTGGAGGAGGCTGGTGGTAGTGGAGGAGGCTGGTGGTAGTGGAGGAGGCTGGTGGTAGTGGAGGAGGCTGGTGGTAGTGGAGGAGGCTGGTGGTAGTGGAGGAGGCTGGTGACAGTGGAGGAGGCTGGTGCAGTGGAGGAGGCTGTGTGGTAGTGGTAGGAGGCTGGTGGTAGTGGAGGAGGCTGGTGGTAGTGGAGGAGGCTGGTGGTAGTGGAGGAGGCTGGTGGTAGTGGAGGAGGCTGGTGGTAGTGGAGGAGGCTGGTGGTAGTGGAGGAGGCTGGTGGTAGTGGAGGAGGCTGGTGGTAGTGGAGGAGGCTGGTGGAGTGGAGGAGGCTGGTGAGTGGAGGAGGCTGGTGGTAGTGGAGGAGGCTGGTGGTAGTGGAGGAGGCTGGTGGTAGTGGAGGAGGCTGGTGGTAGTGGAGGAGGCTGGTGGTAGTGGAGGAGGCTGGTGGCAGTGGAGGAGGCTGGTGGTAGTGGAGGAGGCTGGTGGTAGTGGAGGAGGCTGGTGGTAGTGGAGGAGGCTGGTGGTAGTGGAGGAGGCTGGTGACAGTGGAGGAGGCTGGTGGTAGTGGAGGAGGCTGGTGGAGTGGAGGAGGCTGGTGGAAGTGGAGGAGGCTGGTGGTAGTGGAGGAGGCTGGTGGTAGTGGAGGAGGCTGGTGGTAGTGGAGGAGGCTGGTGAGTGGAGGAGGCTGGTGCAGTGGAGGAGGCTGGTGGTAGTGGAGGAGGCTGGTGACAGTGGAGGAGGCGGTGGTAGTGGAGGAGGCTGGTGGAGTGGAGGAGGCTGGTGGTAGTGGAGGAGGCTGGTGGACAGTGGAGGAGGCAGCTGGTGGCAGTGGAGGAGGGGGCTGGGGTGGGCAGGTGGATGGAGGAGGGCTGGTGCAGTGGAGGAGGCTGGTGGCAGTGGAGGAGGTGGTGGTGCATGGAGGAGGCTGGTGGTAGTGGGAGGAGGCTGGGGTGGTAGTGGAGGAGGCTGGTGGTAGTGGAGGAGGCTGGTGGTAGTGGAGGAGGCTGGTGGTAGTGGAGGAGGCTGGTGGTAGTGGAGGAGGGCTGGGCTGGTAGTGGTAGGAGGTGGTAGTGGAGGAGGCTGGTGGTAGTGGAGGAGGCTGGTGGTAGTGGAGGAGGCTGGTGGTAGTGGAGGAGGCTGGGGTAGTGGAGGAGGCTGGTGGTAGTGGAGGAGGCTGTGGTGAAGTGGAGGAGGCTGGTGGTAGTGGAGGAGGCTGGTGGTAGTGGAGGAGGCTGGTGGTAGTGGAGGAGGCTGGTGGTAGTGGAGGAGGCTGGTGGTAGTGGAGAGGCTGGTGGTAGTGGAGGAGGCTGGTGGTAGTGGAGGAGGCTGGTGGTAGTGGAGGAGGCTGGTGGTAGTGGAGGAGGCTGGTGGTAGTGGAGGAGGCTGGTGGTAGTGGAGGAGGCTGGTGGTAGTGGAGGAGGCTGGTGGTAGTGGAGGAGGGCTGTGGTAGTGGAGAGGCTGGTGGTAGTGGAGGAGGCTGGTGGTAGTGGAGGAAGGCTGGTAGGGAGTGGAGGAGGCTGGTGGTAGTGGAGGAGGCTGGTGAAGTGGAGGAGGCTGGTGGTAGTGGAGGAGGCTGGTGACAGTGGAGGAGGCTGGTGGTAGTGGAGGAGGCTGGTGGAAGTGGAGTGGAGGCTGGTGGTAGTGGAGGAGGCTGGTGGTAGTGGAGGAGGCTGGTGGTAGTGGAGAGGCTGGTGGTAGTGGAGGGGCTGGTGGTAGTGGAGGAGGCTGGTGGTGGTAGTGGAGGAGGCTGGTGGTAGTGGAGGAGGCTGGTGGTAGTGGAGGAGGCTGGTGGTAGTGGAGGAGGCTGGTGGTAGTGGAGGAGGCTGGTGGTAGTGGAGGAGGCTGGTGGTAGTGGAGGAAGGCTGGTGGTAGTGGAGGAGGCTGGTGGTAGTGGAGGAGGCTGGTGACAGTGGAGGAGGCTGGTGGTAGTGGAGGAGGCTGGTGGTAGTGGAGGAGGCTGGTGGTAGTGGAGGAGGCTGGTGGTAGTGGAGGAGGACTGGTGAAGTGGAGGAGGCTGGTGGTAGTGGAGGAGGCTGGTGGAGTGGAGGAGGCTGGTGAAGTGGAGGAGGCTGGTGGAGTGGAGGAGGCTGGTGGTAGTGGAGGAGGCTGGTGGTAGTGGAGGAGGCTGGTGGTAATGGAGGAGGCTGGTGGTAGTGGAGGAGGCTGGTGAAGTGGAGGAGGAGCTGGTGGCAGTGGAGGAGGCTGGTGGCAGTGGAGGAGGCTGGTGGTAGTGGAGGAGGCTGGTGACAGTGGAGGAGGCAGCTGGTGGCAGTGGAGGAGGCTGGTGGAGTGGAGGAGGCTGGTGCAGTGGAGGAGGCTGGTGGATGGAGGAGGCTGGTGCAGTGGAGGAGGCTGGTGTAGTGGAGGAGGCTGGTGGTAGTGGAGGAGGCTGGTGGTAGTGGAGGAGGCTGGTGGTAGTGGAGGAGGCTGGTGGTAGTGGAGGAGGCTGGTGGTAGTGGGGAGGCTGGTGGTAGTGGAGGAGGCTGGTGGTAGTGGAGAAGGCTGGTGGAGTGGAGGAGGCTGGTGGTAGTGGAGGAGGCTGGTGACAGTGGAGGAGGCTGGGTAGTTGGAGAGGCTGGTGACGTGGAGGAGGCTGTGGTAGTGGAGGAGGCTGGTGGTAGTGGAGGAGGCTGGTGGTAGTGGAGGAGGCTGGTATTAGTGGAGGAGGCTGGTGGTAGTGGAGAGGCTGGTGTAGTGGAGAGGCTGGTGGTAGTGGAGAGGCTGGTGGTAGTGGAGGAGGCTGGTGGTAGTGGAGGAGGCTGGTGGTAGTGGAGGAGGCTGGTGGTAGTGGAGGAGGCTGTGGTAGTGGAGGAGGCTGGTGGTAGTGGAGGAGGCTGGTGGTAGTGGGAGAGGCTGGTGGTAGTGGAGGAGGCTGGTGGGAGTGGAGAAGGCTGGTGGGAGTGGAGGAGGCTGGTGGAGTGGAGGAGCTGGTGAAGTGGAGGGCTGGTGGTAGTGGAGGAGGCTGGTGCAGTGGAGGAGGCTCGTAGTGGGGAGGCTGTGGTAGGAGAGCGTGAGTGGAGGAGGCTGGTGGTAGTGGAGGAGGCTGGTGTAGTGGAGAAGGCGGTGTAGTGGAGGAGGCTGGTGTAGTGGAGGAGGCTGGTGAGTTGAGGAGAGCTGTGTAGTGAGGAGGTGGTGGTAGTGGAGAGGCTGGGGTAGTGGAGGAGGCTGGTGGTAGTGGAGGAGGTGGTGGTAGTGGAGGGGCTGGTGGTAGTGAGAGGCTGTGGTAGTGGAGGAGGCTGGTGGTATGGAGGAGGCTGGTGTATGGAAGGTGTGTAGTGAGGGCTGGTGTAGTGAGAAGCTGGTGGTAGTGGAGGAGGCTGGTGAGTGGAGGAGCTGGTGGTAGTGGAGGAGCTGGTGGTAGTGAGGAGGCGGTGGTAGTGGAGGAGGCTGGTGGTAGTGGAGGAGGCTGGTGGTAGTGGAGGAGGCTGGTGGTAGTGGAGGAGGCTGGTGGTAGTGGAGGAGGCTGGTGGTAGTGGAGAAGGCTGGTGGTAGTGGAGGAGGCTGGTGGTAGTGGAGGAGGCTGGTGGTAGTGGAGGAGGCTGGTGGTAGTGGAGGAAGTTGTACTGTGTTCTATTTCCATTGTGGTTCTTCAATCTTGTCCCCCAGGATGCCACCAATACCAGTCACCTACCACCCAGGTACCTACTTGCTTGCTAGGTGAAGGGGACAGCAAGTACAAGGAAACATATGCAAAGTTTTCACCCGTGCCGGAGATTGAACCACGGACACTCTGAGTGAGACAAGAGCGTTGCCTCACCCAGATGCACTGTAAAGCAAAGCACTGTGAAGTGGGGCCCCCTGTACTGCAGGAAAGAAATTAAGTTGTATTGTATTGTGTTGTATTGTACTGCATTGTGTTGTATTGTACTGCATTGTGTTGTATTGTACTGCATTGTATTATAGAGTGACATCAGATGTTAATGATGTCCTGCTGAAGCCCTATCACATACCTTTAAGGTGATATTCTTGAGTAAGGTGTCTTCCAGAACTGCCTGTAACTTCCTGTTGATCTCCAGAGAGAGTTCCAGGGTCATGGATCCATCGCGCGGCGCTGACCCGTACACCGACGCCATGATACCTCCGTGACGCATCAGCTCAGCCTGCCAGCAATCGTCTTATTAAAACCTCTCTTACATGTGGGGAATTATCCTATCTTCTTTCTCATATATGTGGAGAATAATCCTGCCTTCTCTCTCATATATGTCAAAAATTATCCAATATTCTCTCTAATATGTCAAAAATTATTCTGTCTTCTCTCTCAGTCCTGAAACTTTAATCTAAACCTTCGTTTCATATTTATAAAAACGAAAAATATAATTTTTGGTGAAAAACGGACATTCAAAACACCATTCTGGAAAATAACAGATATTCTTCTCCCACAAGGTAGGGTGAGGTAAAGAAGAAACAGCATTCACCATCACTCATTCAATAGCTGCCTTGAGCAAAAACATGTAAAAACACTGATTTAACTTCTGCAGTGTTGCAAGATGCACTCACCTGGCTCTTTCTTTGCACTCGTCCACCGTTTGCAATGGAAGACTAACACCAGGATATCATTAGTAAATCTGAACAGGTAACGAAAGCCTAAGGTATTCAAGCCTAGCTGCAATTATCCAAGCTTAAGTTGAAATTATCCCAAAGTTCCTAAGTTGAAATTAAACATAAGTTAAAATAATCTCAGCCTAATTAGGAATTATCCCAATCTAAGTTGAAACCATCCCAACCTAAGTTGAAACCATCCCAACCTAAGTTGAAACCATCCCAACCTAAGTTGAAACCATCCCAACCTAAGGAAGTTGAAACCATCCCAACCTAAGTTGAAACCATCCCAATCTAAGTTGAAACCATCCCAACCTAAGTTGAAACCATCCCAACCTAAGGAAGTTGAAACCATCCCAATCTAAGTTGAAACCATCCCAATCTAAGTTGAAACCATCCCAACCTAAGGAAGTTGAAACCATCCCAACCTAAGGAAGTTGAAACCATCCCAACCTAAGTTGAAACCATCCCAACCTAAGGAAGTTGAAACCATCCCAACCTAAGGAAGTTGAAACCATCCCAACCTAAGTTGAAACCATCCCAATCTAAGTTGAAACCATCCCAATCTAAGTTGAAACCATCCCAACCTAAGTTGAAACCATCCCAACCTAAGTTGAAACCATCCCAATGTAAGTTGAAACCATCCCAACCTAAGTTGAAACCATCCCAACCTAAGTTGAAACCATCCCAACCTAAGTTGAAACCATCCCAACCTAAGTTGAAACCATCCCAACCTAAGGAAGTTGAAACCATCCCAACCTAAGTTGAAACCATCCCAACCTAAGTTGGGAATATTAAAGGTACTGTCGGCTGCCTTACAAACTTCATCTACACACTATAATTGTTTTGTAAATGCTATTGTAAGAGTTCATCCAATATTTATCAGATCTTTATCAAGTTATTGTCATCATTATCAAGTCATTAGGATCTTCATGTTAAAATTATAGACCTGGGGAAACTACCATGTTTAAATTATAAACTATAGAAAGGATATACTTATTACAGGTTAGGTTAGGTTACATTTTACTGTTACATTAAGAGTTACCTTGAAGTCAGCTGATGTTAAACTAAGCTAGGCTAGGCTAGTTTATGTTATATTAGGTTAGGTTATATTTTACTGTTACATTTACTGTTATATTGGCAGTTTGGAGGGATATGTTGTGTATTTTTATAGTATATGCTTCTAAACTGTTGTATTCTGAGCACCTCTGCAAAAGCAGTGATAATGTGCGAGTGTGGTGAAAGTGTTGAATGATGATGAAAGTATTTTCTTTTTGGGGATTTTCTTTCTTTTTTGGGTCACCCTGCCTCGGTGGGAGACGCCGACTTGTTGAAAAAAAAAAATACGAGTTTTACCTTGGAGTCATCTGAGGCAGAATTTGCCAGGGCTCCTGCCTCTTCCTTCATAATATAATGATGGATAATACGAGACTTCTTCTTCACCTCCGACACTAAGTGAGAAATATGCTCCTCCAGGAACTCAATTTTTTCCGAGCGTCGGGCGGCAGACTTCTGGAGTTTTATAATTCGGTCAACGAGTAGCTGCTGGGTCACAATTGGGTCGTGAAGAGGTGGCAGAGAGTCCTAAAATGTAATTACAGACATTAGAAAAAGCACTTGTATGTGCTGATGGTTCCAGAAACACAAAGTGTCACTCAAATTCAAAGTCAGATATACAGTGGACCCCCGCATAACGATTACCTCTGAATGTGACCAATTATGTAAGTGTATTTATGTAAGTGCGTTTGTACGTGTATGTTTGGGGGTCTGAAATGGACTAATCTACTTCACAATATTTCTTATGGGAACAAATTTGGTCAGTACTGGCACCTGAACATACTTCTGGAGTGAAAAAATATCGTTAACCGGGGGTCCACTGTATTTGCACATGATATACAGTGGTACCCCGAGTTACGAACTTAATTCGTTCCAGAAGGCTGTTCGAGTGCCAATACTAAACTAATTTGTTCCCATAAGGAATAATGTAAATTAGATGAGTTCATTTCATACCCCCAAAAATACACTTACAAAAATACACTTACATAATTGTTCAAGTTAGGACGTGTTCAAAACTTGAGGTACCACTGTAATGTTTATACAGAGACGGATGATATTTGGTTGTATGTGCAGAAACCCACGGTTATGTAGAGCCTTTCTGGCAAGCTTAAGCTTAATACCACAAGGGAAATAAACATTACATATACGTATTTAAAGACATTAAATATATACAAATAAAACTGAATCAATGGGTATACAGTGGACCCCCGGTTAACGAACTTTTTTCACTCCAGAAGTATGTTCAGGTGCCAGTACTGACCGAATTTGTTCCCATAAGGAATATTGGGAAGTAGATTAGTCCATTTCAGACCCCCAAACATACACGTACAAACGCACTTACATAAATACACTTACATAATTGGTCACATTCAGAGGTGATCGTTATGCGGGGGTCCACTGTATAATGAATGAATATTTAAGTAGATTAAATATGCCATTGTATATAATTACAAGAAATATAATTTAGGTTAGTCTAGCAGATTTAGAGGTACAATTTTTTTTTACATTAGATGACATACACTTCAAGATCTTCATCTTAAAGAGATAATGGCATAAATATTATCATTTATAATATAAATATAATAAATCTGGCTCTAATACGCAGGCAATTCCTCCGGCAGGAGCCATTATGTGTTGGGGGATTTTGATCTTAAACCACATATAAGGGAGACTCCAGTCACCGGAGCTTCTCCCATGGTGTCATCCATAAACATCATACTGTAAATTGGGTGGCCTGGTGGCCTGGTGGCTAAAGCTCCCGCTTCACACACGGAGGGCCCGGGTTCGATTCCTGGCGGGTGGAAATTCCGACACGTTTCCTTACACCTATTGTCCTGTTCACCTAGCAGCAAATAGGTACCTGGGTGTTAGTCGACTGGTGTGGGTCGCATCCTGGGGGACAAGATTAAGGACCCCAATGGAAATAAGTTAGACAGTCCTCGATGATGCACTGACTTTCTTGGGTTATCCTGGATGGCTAACCCTCCGGGGTTAAAAATCCGAATGAAATCTTCTTCTTCTTCTTCTTTCTGTGCACTCCTCAACCTTGGATGTACCTTTCTGTGCACTCTTCAACCTTGGATGTACCTTTCTGTGCACTCTTCAACCTTGGATGTACCTTTCTGTGCACTCTTCAACCTTGGATGTACCTTTCTGTGCACTCTTCAACCTTGGATGTACCTTTCTGTGCACTCTTCAACCTTGGATGTACCTTTCTGTGCACTCTTCAACCTTGGATGTACCTTTCTGTGCACTCTTCAACCTTGGATGTACCTTTCTGTGCACTCTTCAACCTTGGATGTACCTTTCTGTGCACTCTTCAACCTTGGATGTACCTTTCTGTGCACTCTTCAACCTTGGATGTACCTTTCTGTGCACTCTTCAACCTTGGATGTACCTTTCTGTGCACTCTTCAACCTTGGATGTACCTTTCTGTGCACTCTTCAACCTTGGATGTACCTTTCTGTGCACTCTTCAACCTTGGATGTACCTTTCTGTGCACTCTTCAACCTTGGATGTACCTTTCTGTGCACTCTTCAACCTTGGATGTACCTTTCTGTGCACTCTTCAACCTTGGATGTACCTTTCTGTGCACTCTTCAACCTTGGATGTACCTTTCTGTGCACTCTTCAACCTTGGATGTACCTTTCTGTGCACTCTTCAACCTTGGATGTACCTTTCTGTGCACTCTTCAACCTTGGATGTACCTTTCTGTGCACTCTTCAACCTTGGATGTACCTTTCTGTGCACTCTTCAACCTTGGATGTACCTTTCTGTGCACTCTTCAACCTTGGATGTACCTTTCTGTGCACTCTTCAACCTTGGATGTACCTTTCTGTGCACTCTTCAACCTTGGATGTACCTTTCTGTGCACTCTTCAACCTTGGATGTACCTTTCTGTGCACTCTTCAACCTTGGATGTACCTTTCTGTGCACTCTTCAACCTTGGATGTACCTTTCTGTGCACTCTTCAACCTTGGATGTACCTTTCTGTGCACTCTTCAACCTTGGATTTACCCATCTGTGCACTCTTCAACCTTGGATGTACCTTTCTGTGCACTCTTCAACCTTGGATGTACCTTTCTGTGCACTCTTCAACCTTGGATGTACCTTTCTGTGCACTCTTCAACCTTGGATTTACCCATCTGTGCACTCTTCAACCTTGGATGTACCTTTCTGTGCACTCTTCAACCTTGGATGTACCTTTCTGTGCACTCTTCAACCTTGGATGTACCTTTCTGTGCACTCTTCAACCTTGGATGTACCTTTCTGTGCACTCTTCAACCTTGGATGTACCTTTCTGTGCACTCTTCAACCTTGGATGTACCTTTCTGTGCACTCTTCAACCTTGGATGTACCTTTCTGTGCACTCTTCAACCTTGGTTGTACCTTTCTGTGCACTCTTCAACCTTGGATGTACCCATCTGTGCACTCTTCAACCTTGGATGTACCTTTCTGTGCACTCTTCAACATAGGATGTAAATTCTGTGCACTCTTCAACATCGGATGTACATTTTGCAAACACAATTACAGATTTACAACAAAGTTTACTGCATCCTGTCACCCCAGCACGAACAGTAAAAAAAAAACAGGAAAAATAATCACTGTGAGTGTGGATTGCCAGTGTGGATTACAAGTGTGGATTACAAGTGTGGATTACAAGTGTGGATTCTTACCATACAACACTCACCTGAGAATGAGGACTGCTACCATTGGTACTCTGGTATTCGATGGTATTAAGGGAAGTGTTGGAAGAAGCTCTTGACCCCTGAGATAAGGAGTCATGCGGAGTTGCCGACTGAGATGACCGTCCACTCGACACGACTCCGCTGCCGGCTCCGCTACCTCCGCCAGGGCTGTTCTCTTGGATCGCTAAACGCTTCCGGAGTTTCTGCATCTCCCGGGTGATGTCCTGTCAAACATCAATCAAAATCAACTCTAAAATCTTACCAAGGTGAGGATTAACTTAAAATGCTCTCATAGCATTTACTGTTAGGTACAAGGACACAAGTGCAATTAGTGTGACGTTTGATTACGGTAAAGTTTCACTCTCCAGGAACTTTGTCAAGCCGTTACAAACAATACAGAGGGCATATTATAAGTCCTCAACTTACAGATACATTGGGGACCTCCTGAATTGTGTATAATAATAATATTTGCGGCTTATAAGACTTCAGTATCAACGGCTCGGCATTGGACATAACTTGGAGAGCTACAGCCCACCCCACACCCCAAACTTATAGCTCCCGTCACTGACCTTCAGTTTATAGGACACAGGCTGGTGATTGGAGACATTTTATGGAAAAAATGCATCTAATAAGCCGTGAAATACGGTAATAATGATATATACACGATACAGATGATTCTCAATGTGTTTGCAACTTGAGGACTTACTGTATACAGGTATAAAGTGAGGTGCAAATCATAATATAATCATCGTAGACAGTAGTAGTAGTACTTGTGGTGGCAGTAGTGGTGGTAGCAGCTATGTGATGGCAGGGGTTTATTGCTCCTGGAGAGTGAAACGTTGCCACAATAAAATGCCGCATTAGTTGCACCTGTGTCCTTTTACCTAACATATTGTCGGTAATTCGAACAACATTATTACGTAGGATTTACTCTCTAAAATCCTTTCAAAGTTCACTGAGGATTAACTAACAAAAAATCTAGATTAACTTCTTAAGTCAAGAAATGAGAACATGGAAAAATTATAGAACAAATCCCTATACAGTACATGTACTTGTAGAAATAAATTATTATTAATTATTATCCTCACTAATTGTGTAAGAAAGGTATAAAATACCAACAATATGAAAGTTAAGACACATGTGCAACATCTGGATATCTTTATTGTAGACGTTTCGCCATCCAGTGGCTTTATCAATACAGATTCTAGGACATAATAGGAAGACAGTAGAACTATATACAAAAGATGAGGTAATCAGTCCCTCGGCCTTGGAGTTAGTGTTCACAGCATCGTGGTGGAGGAGAATCTGGAGCAAAGGGGAAGTGGAACAGAATTCTTCCTCCGTAAGTCATGCATGTTGTAAGAGGCGACTAAAATACCGGAAGCAAGGGGCTAGTAACCCCTTCTCCTGTATATGTTACTAAATGTGAAAGGAAAAACTTTTGTTTTTCTTTTTGGGCCACCCCGCCTCGGTGGGATACGGCCGGTGTGTTGAAAGAAGAAGAAGATCCTCACTAATACTGCTGTAAAGTGAATATTCACCACCATAAAGTGAATATTCACCACCAAAAAGCAAATATTCACCACCAAAAAGCAAATATTCACCACCAAAAAGTAAATATTCACCACCAAAAAGCAAATATTCACCACCAAAAAGCAAATATTCACCACCAAAAAGCAAATATTCACCACCAAAAAGCAAATATTCACCACCATAAAGCAAATATTTTCTACCGTAAAGTGAATATTGCCTTACGGCGAATCACAATTTTTTTTTCACTTGCTGGGACATATAAAAGCCTAAAAATATATTTATACTATCATTTATTAAGTGAACATTAGTACTAGTTCTAAAAAAATACCAATGTAAAAACAAATTTTTTTTTTTTTAAACTCTGCCAAAAAACATTTTAAGAGCAAAGAAATTCTGAAAATAATAAATGTGAATATATTGAAGGAGGGAATGTTAATGTTGTAGTTTTATTGTTAATGTTGTAGTTTTATTGTTAATGTTGTAGTTTTAGTGTTAATGTTGTAGTTTTATTGTTAATGTTGTAGTTTTAATGTTAATGTTGTAGTTTTATTGTTAATGTTGTAGTTTTATTGTTAATGTTGTAGTTTTAGTGTTAATGTTGTAGTTTTAGTGTTAATGTTGTAGTTTTATTGTTAATGTTGTAGTTTTAATGTTAATGTTGCAGTTTAAAAACTGTAGTGTAAAGCACCCTTCTGGCAAGACAGTGATGGAGTGAATGATGGTGAAAGTTTTTCTTTTTCGGGCCACCCTGCCTTGGTGGCCACCCTGCCTTGGTGACCACCCTGCCTTGGTGGGCCACCCTGCCTTGGTGGGCCACCCTGCCTTGGTGGGCCACCCTGCCTTGGTGGACACCCTGCCTTGGTGGACACCCTGCCTTGGTGGACACCCTGCCTTGGTGGACACCCTGCCTTGGTGGACACCCTGCCTTGGTGGACACCCTGCCTTGGTGGACACCCTGCCTTGGTGGACACCCTGCCTTGGTGGACACCCTGCCTTGGTGGACACCCTGCCTTGGTGGACACCCTGCCTTGGTGGACACCCTGCCTTGGTGGACACCCTGCCTTGGTGGGAATCGGCTGATGTGTTAAAAAAAGGAAATGTAAAGTAAAAGGACGCAAATGCAACTAATGTGACATTTTATTGTGGCAATGTTTTGCTCTCCAGGAGCTTTGTCAAGCTTGGAGAGCAAAACGTTGCCACAATGAAACGTCACATTAGTTGCACTTACCTGGAGTTTACCTGGAGAGGGTTTCGGGGGTCAATGCCCCCGCGGCCCAGTCCTGCTGGCCGCACTCTACAAACATGAATATGATTGAAAAGCGCCGTGTTAGCGAGGTAACAGCCTGGTTGATCAGGCCCTGATCCACCATGAGGCCTGGTCACGGACCGGGCCGTGGGGGCGCTGACCCCCAGAACTCTCTCCAGGTATGTTCAGTTTATGAGCCCGAATGTATCATGTGAGAAGACCTGGTACTTGCTACACCTGGTACTTGCTACACCTGGTACTTGCTACACCTGGTACTTGCTACACCTGGCACTTGCTACACCTGGTACTTGCTACACCTGGTACTTGCTACACCTGGTACTTGCTACACCTGGTACTTGCTACACCTGGTACTTGCTACACCTGGTACTTGCTACACCTGGTACTTGCTACACCTGGTACTTGCTACACCTGGTACTTGCTACACCTGGTACTTGCTACACCTGGTACTTGCTACACCTGGTACTTGCTCCACCTGGTACTTGCTACACCTGGTACTTGCTACACCTGGTACTTGCTACACCTGGTACTTGCTACACCTGGTACTTGCTCCACCTGGTACTTGCTCCACCTGGTACTTGCTCCACCTGGTACTTGCTACACCTGGTACTTGCTACACCTGGTACTTGCTCCACCTGGTACTTGCTCCACCTGGTACTTGCTCCACCTGGTACTTGCTACACCTGGTACTTGCTCCACCTGGTACATACTTACTTCACATGGTCCTCAATCTACCTAGAACTATCTGGTACTCACTTTTAAAGAGTTATTATGCTTCTTGTTGAGCACCTGGATCTCGTTTTCAAGTTCCATAACTTTGGTAGTCAACTGTCTCACCTCTTCCGATCTCCCCGCTAGCTGCCGTCTGAGCTGCTCTAACTGTAAGACAAATACGAACATTACGTCAACAAGCAAAAAACACAATGTTAAACAAATGGAGAAAAGTCACAATATCATTATTGAGGAATGGATGGAGGACCATGGATGGAAGACCATGGATGGAGGTCCATGGATGGAGAACCATGGATGGAAGACCATGGATGGAGGACCATGGATGGAGAACCATGGATGGAAGACCATAGATGGAGGACCATGGATGGAAGACCATAGATGGAGGACCATGGATGGAGAACCATGGATGGAGAACCATGGATGGAGAACCATGGATGGAGAACCATGGATGGAGAACCATGGATGGAGAACCATGGATGGAAGACCATGGATGGAGGACCATGGATGGAGAACCATGGATGGAAGACCATAGATGGAGGACCATGGATGGAAGACCATAGATGGAGGACCATGGATGGAAGACCATAGATGGAGGACCATGGATGGAGAACCATGGATGGAGAACCATGGATGGAGAACCATGGATGGAGAACCATGGATGGAGAACCATGGATGGAGAACCATGGATGGAGAACCATGGATGGAGAACCATGGATGGAGAACCATGGATGGAAGACCATGGATGGAGAACCATGGATGGAGAACCATGGATGGAGAACCATGGATGGACAACCATGGATGGAGAACCATGGATGGAAGACCATGGATGGAGAACCATGGATGGAGGACCATGGATGGAGAACCATGGATGGAGAACCATGGATGGAGAACCATGGATGGAGAACCATGGATGGAGAACCATGGATGGAGAACCATGGATGGAGAACCATGGATGGAGGACCATGGATGGAGAACCATGGATGGAGAACCATGGATGGAGAACCATGGATGGAGAATCATGGATGGAGGACCATGGATGGAGAACCATGGATGGAGAACCATGGATGGAGAACCATGGATGGAGAACCATGGATGGAGAACCATGGATGGAGGACCATGGATGGAGAACCATGGATGGAGAACCATGGATGGAGAACCATGGATGGAGAACCATGCATGGAGAACCATGGTGCTGGCAGTACAAGGTCCATCGCTCTACCATTCTTGTCGATTTAATGACAGTTGTTCATTAAAGCTTTCCTTGAGTTTAAGGTCCCTATGGTTATTCTGAATGAAATTCCAAGGTTGATTTTGAATCATGAAGTCATAACATGACTGGTAACAAACCACAGAACAAATAAACCTGCCTATGGTGTATAGAAATACAGTGGACCCCCGCATAACGATTACCTCCGAATGCGACCAATTATGTAAGTGTATTTATGTAAGTGCGTTTGTACGTGTATGTTTGGGGGTCTGAAATGGACTAATCTACTTCACAATATTCCTTATGGGAAAAAATTCGGTCAGTACTGGCACCTGAACATACTACTGGAATGAAAAAAGTTCGTTAACCGGGGGTCCACTGTATACAGTAAGTCATAAACTTATAAGCATGTTGAGAATATTCTATATTGTGAATATTATCATCATTATATTATCACTGTGTATAATATCATTATTATATATTATTATACACAACTCAGGAGGTCCCCAATACAGTGGACCCCCGGTTAACGAACTCTTTTCATTCCAGAAGTATGTTCAGGTGCCAGTACTGACCGAATTTTTTACCATAAGGAATATTGTGAAGTAGATTAGTCAATTTCAGACCCCCAAACATACACGTACAAACGCACTTACATAAATACACTTACATAATTGGTCGCATTTGGAGGTGATCGTTATGCGGGGGTCCACTGTATGTGTGTAAGTTGAGGACTTGCTGTACCTAGTTGAACGAATGTTACTGTAGCCAGCTGGTCCAGTGCTTTATACACTGGCCTGTGAGTCTTACCACTCACTTGTCATGGATTTAAACCCCACCTGTTCCCTGGTTTGGGTTGAATTTAGGGGCCATTCACGAAGACAATGGGCATTATCACGAGGGAGGAATCACGCTAGCTGGAACTGTTCTCTCCTACTAGTGGTGGACCAAGTGTGTAAAATGCAAAACTACATTCTAATACTGCAGAAAGAAATGCTGGATGTTTTGTATCAACACTAACCTCGGAAATGTGTGTTTGATTTTCTTTAGCAAGGTCTGTCTTCAATTTCAACTTCTGCACCTTGAGCTCGTCTAATTCTGCTTTCATCTCCGTTTGCACAAGTTCCATCAGTTGCGTCTGTGTGGAGAAAGATGGAACATGATGAATCACAAAACAAATTCATGAATAAAACCCGTATCATGGCTGGAAAAATAACAAAAAACCCATAGATCAGAGAGTCAACCTCACATGATTCTATGTTCATTGTGTACCATTATCAAAATAATTTAGGTAAAAGGACACAAGGCAACTAATGTGACATGCTATTGTGGCAACATTTCGCAGAACATTGCTACAATAAAACGTTGCATTAGTTGCACATGTGGCCTTTTAAATAACATTTTTTTTGACACAACGGCTGTCTTCCACCAAGGCAGGGTGACCCAAAAAAGAAACACTTTCACTATCATTCAACACTTTCACCATCATTTATACATAATAGCTGTCTCAGCAGAGGCACTCGGCTACAACAGTTTAGATGTCACTCCGAACAGCCAATATCCCTAGCCCCTCCTTAAAAGTGTAGCCATTGTACTTCCCACCTCCAGGACTCAAGTCCGGCTAACCGGTTTCCCAGAATCCCTTCTACCAACATTATAATAATAATTTAAGTTCAGTGTTATAATGGTTACAATGGCACTCGAAACTACAACACCATCGCCCCCATCTTTACTGAATGTTTATACAAATGCTCCTTTACGATGGTTCAACTTACGATATTTCAACTTTACAATGCAAAAATCTTGTTTTTTGTACTGTACTTTTAATAGGATAAACTTATATTCATTTATTTACTTTACGATACTTGTATTTAGTTACAGTAATTACTGTATTTGTTTATTTATCACATACAGTGGAACCTGGGTTTTCGTATGCCGTAGTTTGTATGTAAAACTACAGTGGACCCCCGGTATTCGATATTAATCCGTTCCTGAGAGCTCATCGAATACCGACAATATCGAAAACCGAATCAATTTTCCTCATAAGAAATAATGGAAATCAAATTAATCCATGCAAGACACCCAAAAGTATGAAAAAAAAAATTTTACTACATGAAATATTAAGTTTAATGCAATAGAATAATTACAATAACAATAAAATAATTGACACTTACCTTTAATGAAGATCTGGTGATGATTGATGAGATGGGAGAGTGTCATTGTAATAGTCACCAGCACGGCTTGCAATAGCTGTGTTAGGGTGATTTTCATCCATAAAGGTTTGCACTTCAACCCACTGTGTACACATTTCCTTAATTTTTGAAGTAGGCACAATGGATTCCACAACTGGCATAGGCTTCTCAGGGTTAGCCCAAACCCTTCAAAATCTTTCTTAATTTCCATACTAATTCTCACCCTTTTTACCACAGGGTTGGCACTAGAGGCTTTCTTGGGGCCCATGGTGACTTATTTTGCAGAAACAAGCACCAAACACAGTGATAATATGGATAATATGGAATGTACTGAATGTATCCTTAGATGCGCGCACACTGGCTGGCTTGTAAACACTGGCACACACGGGGCAGTTCAGGCCACACGTGGACAGGTCTCGTACAAATCGTATCGAATATCGGGTTTTCAATCGAATACCGAGGAAAATTTTTTGCGATATAATGCATCGAATACAGGATTTATCGAATACCGATGCCATCGAATACCGGGGGTCCACTGTATAGTTATTCTGTATAAAATGTATTTTTTTAATATTTACCATAAGAAATAATGTAAATCCAATTAACCCATTCGAGATACCCAAAAATATTAACAAAAAATACGTCTTATAGAGAATAACTAAAGTTTTACAAACAAACTAGGGCATATGAAAACCCAGGTTCCCCTGTATTAATATTTGACATACGATGTTGTTAACTCACGATTGGTTCACTGGAACATGGCCTCATCATAAGTAGGAGCACCTAACATAACATTCAAGCCTTTTAATGGTTTTACCTTCGACTGAAGTGCGGAGAATTGACTCTGAATCTGTACATTCTTGTCGGTCAATTTCTGCGTGAAGGCTAGCAGTTCCGCTTCCTTTTGTCGGCAGGCGAGAAGTTCGCTCTCTATCTCGTTGTTGTTAGCTTGTAGCCGATCAATCTCCCGGTTCGCCGTGGCCACCTCTTCACGCTCCCTGCAACGTGGATATTATTATAGTAACTCCTTGACTTACACATACATTGAGAATCTTCTTTTTTTATTATTATTATCACACTGGCCGATTCCCACCAAGGCAGGGTGGCCCGAAAAAGAAAAACTTTCACCATCATTCACTCCATCACTGTCTTGCCAGAAGGGTGCTTTACACTACAGTTTTTAAACTGCAACATTAACACCCCTCCTTCAGAGTGCAGGCACTGTACTTCCCATCTCCAGGACTCAAGTCCGGCCTGCCGGTTTCCCTGAATCCCTTCATAAATGTTACTTTGCTCACACTCCAACAGCACGTCAAGTATTAAAAACCATTTGTCTCCATTCACTCCTATCAAACACGCTCACGCATGCCTGCTGGAAGTCCAAGCCCCTCGCACACAAAACCTCCTTTACCCCCTCCCTCCAACCCTTCCTAGGCCGACCCCTACCCCGCCTTCCTTCCACTACAGACTGATACACTCTTGAAGTCATTCTGTTTCGCTCCATTCTCTCTACATGTCCGAACCACCTCAACAACCCTTCCTCAGCCCTCTGGACAACAGTTTTGGTAATCCCGCACCTCCTCCTAACTTCCAAACTACGAATTCTCTGCATTATATTCACACCACACATTGCCCTCAGACACGACATCTCCACTGCCTCCAGCCTTCTCCTCGCTGCAAACATTCATCACCCACGCTTCACACCCATATAAGAGCGTTGGTAAAACTATACTCTCATACATTCCCCTCTTTGCCTCCAAGGACAAAGTTCTTTGTCTCCACAGACTCCTAAGTGCACACTCACTCTTTTTCCCTCATCAATTCTATGATTCACCTCATCTTTCATAGACCCATCCGCTGACACGTCCACTCCCAAATATCTGAATACGTTCACCTCCTCCATACTCTCTCCCTCCAATCTGATATTCAATCTTTCATCACCTAATCTTTTTGTTATCCTCATAACCTTACTCTTTCCTGTATTCACCTTTAATTTTCTTCTTTTGCACACCCTACCAAATTCATCCACCAATCTCTGCAACTTCTCTTCAGAATCTCCCAAGAGCACAGTGTCATCAGCAAAGAGCAGCTGTGACAACTCCCACTTTGTGTGTGATTCTTTATCTTTTAACTCCACGCCTCTTGCCAAGACCCTCGCATTTACTTCTCTTACAACCCCATCTATAAATATATTAAACAACCACGGTGACATCACACATCCTTGTCTAAGGCCTACTTTTACTGGGAAATAATTTCCCTCTTTCCTACATACTCTAACTTGAGCCTCACTATCCTCGTAAAAACTCTTCACTGCTTTCAGTAACCTACCTCCTACACCATACACTTGCAACATCTGCCACATTGCCCCCCTATCCACCCTGTCATACGCCTTTTCCAAATCCATAAATGCCACAAAGACCTCTTTAGCCTTATCTAAATACTGTTCACTTATATGTTTCACTGTAAACACCTGGTCCACACACCCCTACCTTTCCTAAAGCCTCCTTGTTCATCTGCTATCCTATTCTCCGTCTTACTCTTAATTCTTTCAATTATAACTCTACCATACACTTTACCAGGTACACTCAACAGACTTATCCCCCTATAATTTTTGCACTCTCTTTTGTCCCCTTTGCCTTTATACAAAGGAACTATGCATGCTCTCTGCCAATCCCTAGGTACCTTACCCTCTTCCATACATTTATTAAATAATTGCACCAACCACTCCAAAACTATATCCCCACCTGCTTTTAACATTTCTATCTTTATCCCATCAATCCCGGCTGCCTTACCCCCTTTCATTTTACCTACTGCCTCACGAACTTCCCCCACACTCACAACTGGCTCTTCCTCACTCCTACAAGATGTTATTCCTCCTTGCCCTATACACGAAATCACAGCTTCCCTATCTTCATCAACATTTAACAATTCCTCAAAATATTCCCTCCATCTTCCCAATACCTCTAACTCTCCATTTAATAACTCTCCTCTCCTATTTTTAACTGACAAATCCATTTGTTCTCTAGGCTTTCTTAACTTGTTAATCTCATTCCAAAACTTTTTCTTATTTTCAACAAAATTTGTTGATAACATCTCACCCACTCTCTCATTTGCTCTCTTTTTACATTGCTTCACCACTCTCTTAACTTCTCTCTTTTTCTCCATATACTCTTCCCTCCTTGCATCACTTCTACTTTGTAAAAACTTCTCATATGCTAACTTTTTCTCCCTTACTACTCTCTTTTACATCATCATTCCACCAATCGCTCCTCTTCCCTCCTGCACCCCCTTTCCTGTAACCACAAACTTCTGCTGAACACTCTAACACTACATTTTTAAACCTACCCCATACCTCTTCGACCCCATTGCCTATGCTCTCATTAGCCCATCTATCCTCCAATAGCTGTTTATATCTTACCCTAACGGGCCTCCTCTTTTAGTTTATAAACCTTCACCTCTCTCTTCCCTGATGCTTCTATTCTCCTTGTATCCCATCTACCTTTTACTCTCAGTGTAGCTACAATTTAGAAAGTGATCTGATATATCTGTGGCCCCTCTATAAACATGTACATCCTGAAGTCTACTCAACAGTCTTTTATCTACCAATACATAATCCAACAAAAATACTGTCATTTCGCCCTACATCATATCGTGTATACTTATTTATCCTCTTTTTCTTAAAATATGTATTACCTATAACTAAACCCCTTTCTATACAAAGTTCAATCAAAGGGCTCCCATTATCATTTACACCTGGCACCCCAAACTTACCTACCACACCCTCTCTAAAAGTTTCTCCTACTTAGCATTCAAGTCCCCTACCACAATTACTCTCTCACTTGGTTCAAAGGCTCCTATACATTCACTTAACATCTCCCAAAATCTCTCTCTCTCCTCTGCATTCCTCTCTTCTCCAGGTGCATACACGCTTATTATGACCCACTTCTCGCATCCAACCTTTACTTTAATCCACATAATTCTTGAATTTACACATTCATATTCTCTTTTCTCCTTCCATAACTGATCATTTAACATTACTGCTACCCCTTCCTTTGCTCTAACTCTCTCAGATACTCCAGATTTAATCCCATTTATTTCCCCCCATCTGTATTGTGTATAATATACACAATTCTGTATTGTGTATAATATGCACAATTCTGTATTGTGTATAATATGCACAATTCTGTATTGTGTATAATATACAAAATTCTGTATTGTGTATAATAAGTACAATTCAGAAGGTCCCCAACGTGTTTGTAAGTCAAGGACTTACAAACACATTGGTTGGTTTATGGGGGTTTAAAACCTACAGACTAAACTAGGGTCATTAAAACTGCATGTAACCTTTTCACCACCAGGCAAGAATAATTAAAAAAAATAGGGATTAATGCAATAAGATCACAGTAAACAGGTGATATCACAATATGCAAAATAACCACTGTGAAAAAAAAAAAATGACCACTGTGAATGACCACTGTGAAAAAAATGACCACTGTGAAAAAAAAATAACCACTGTGAAAAAAAATGATGTGAGAAATCACAAAAGCGCTTGGAAACTATTTTTTTCACAGTGGTTATTTTGCAAATATGCTGAACAAAATACAATTCTTAGTGAACATCTGCGACTAAAGTGTAGTGAATTTTGCTCTGTGCCAATACCTGGAGTATACCTGCAGGGTGTTTCAGGGGTCAATGCTCCCGTGTCCCAGTTCATGACCAGGCCTGGTGGTGGATCAGGACCTAATCAACCAGGTTGTTACTGCTGGCCGCAAGTAAACCAACGTAGGAACCACAACCTGGCTGGTTAGGTACTGACTTTGTATATCTGTCCAGCTTCTTCTTGAAGACAGCCAGGGGTCTTGAAGACAACCAGGGGTCTTGAAGACAACCAGGGGTCTTGAAGATAGCCAGGGGTCTTGAAGACAACCAGGGGTCTTGAAGACAGCCAGGGGTCTTGAAGACAGCCAGGGGTCTTGAAGACAGTCAGGGGTCTTGAAGACAGCCAGGGGTCTTGAAGACAGCCAGGGGTCTTGAAGATAGCCAGGGGTCTTGAAGACAACCAGGGGTCTTGAAGACAGCCAGGGGTCTTGAAGACAGCCAGGGGTCTTGAAGACAGCCAGGGGTCTTGAAGACAACCAGGGGTCTTGAAGACAGCCAGGGGTCTTGAAGACAGCCAGGGGTCTTGAAGATAGCCAGGGGTCTTGAAGACAACCAGGGGTCTTGAAGACAGCCAGGGGTCTTGAAGACAGCCAGGGGTCTTGAAGACAGCCAGGGGTCTTGAAGACAACCAGGGGTCTTGAAGACAGCCAGGGGTCTTGAAGACAGTCAGGGGTCTTGAAGACAGCCAGGGGTCTTGAAGACAGCCAGGGGTCTTGAAGACAGCCAGGGTCTTGAAGACAGCCAGGGGTCTTGAAGACAGTCAGGGGTCTTGAAGACAGCCAGGGGTCTTGAAGACAGCCAGGGGTCTTGAAGACAGCCAGGGGTCTTGAAGACAGCCAGAGGTCTTGAAGACAGCCAGAGGTCTTGAAGACAGCCAGAGGTCTTGAAGACAGCCAGAGGTCTTGAAGACAGCCAGAGGTCTTGAAGACAGCCAGGGGTCTTGAAGACAGCCAGGGGTCTTGAAGACAGCCAGAGGTCTTGAAGACAGCCAGAGGTCTTGAAGACAGCCAGAGGTCTTGAAGACAGCCAGAGGTCTTGAAGACAGCCAGAGGTCTTGAAGACAGCCAGGGGTCTTGAAGACAGCCAGGGGTCTTGAAGACAGCCAGGGGTCTTGAAGACAGCCAGGGGTCTTGAAGACAGCCAGGGGTCTTGAAGACAACCAGGGGTCTTGAAGACAGCCAGGGGTCTTGAAGACAACCAGGGGTCTTGAAGACAGCCAGGGGTCTTGAAGACAGCCAGGGGTCTTGAAGACAGCCAGGGGTCTTGAAGACAACCAGGGGTCTTGAAGACAGCCAGGGGTCTTGAAGACAGCCAGGGGTCTTGAAGACAACCAGGGGTCTTGAAGACAGCCAGGGGTCTTGAAGACAGCCAGGGGTCTTGAAGACAGCCAGGGGTCTTGAAGACAGCCAGAGGTCTTGAAGACAGCCAGGGTCTTGAAGACAACCAGGGGTCTTGAAGACAGCCAGGGGTCTTGAAGACAGCCAGGGGTCTTGAAGACAGCCAGGGGTCTTGAAGACAACCAGGGGTCTTGAAGACAGCCAGGGGTCTTGAAGACAGCCAGGGGTCTTGAAGACAGCCAGAGGTCTTGAAGACAGCCAGGGGTCTTGAAGACAACCAGGGGTCTTGAAGACAGCCAGGGGCTTGAAGACAGCCAGGGGTCTTGAAGACAGCCAGGGGTCTTGAAGACAGCCAGGGGTCTTGAAGACAACCAGGGGTCTTGAAGACAGCCAGGGGTCTTGAAGACAGCCAGAGGTCTTGAAGACAGCCAGAGGTCTTGAAGACAGCCAGAGGTCTTGAAGACAGCCAGAGGTCTTGAAGACAGCCAGAGGTCTTGAAGACAACCAGAGGTCTTGAAGACAACCAGGGGTCTTGAAGACAGCCAGGGGTCTTGAAGACAGCCAGAGGTCTTGAAGACAGCCAGAGGTCTTGAAGACAGCCAGGGGTCTTGAAGACAGCCAGGGGTCTTGAAGACAGCCAGAGGTCTTGAAGACAGCCAGAGGTCTTGAAGACAGCCAGAGGTCTTGACAGCCAGGGGTCTTGAAGACAGCCAGAGGTCTTGAAGACAGCCAGAGGTCTTGAAGACAGCCAGAGGTCTTGAAGACAGCCAGAGGTCTTGAAGACAGCCAGGGGTCTTGAAGACAGCCAGGGGTCTTGAAGACAGCCAGGGGTCTTGAAGACAGCCAGGGGTCTTGAAGACAACCAGGGGTCTTGAAGACAGCCAGGGGTCTTGAAGACAGCCAGGGGTCTTGAAGACAGCCAGGGGTCTTGAAGACAGCCAGGGGTCTTGAAGACAGCCAGAGGTCTTGAAGACAGCCAGAGGTCTTGAAGACAGCCAGAGGTCTTGAAGACAGCCAGAGGTCTTGAAGACAGCCAGAGGTCTTGAAGACAACCAGGGGTCTTGAAGACAGCCAGAGGTCTTGAAGACAGCCAGAGGTCTTGAAGACAGCCAGGGGGTCTTGAAGACAGCCAGGGGTCTTGAAGACAGCCAGAGGTCTTGAAGACAGCCAGAGGTCTTGAAGACAGCCAGGGGGTCTTGAAGACAGCAGGTGTCTTGAAGACAGCCAAGGGTCTTGAAGACAGCCAGAGGTCTTGAAGACAGCCAGAGGTCTTGAAGACAGCAGGTGTCTTGAAGACAGCAGGTGTCTTGAAGACAGCCAAGGGTCTTGAAGACAGCCAAGGGTCTTGAAGATAGCCAAGGGTCTTGAAGATAGCCAAGGGTCTTGAAGACAGCCAAGGGTCTTGAAGACAGCCAAGGGTCTTGAAGACAGCCAAGGGTCTTGAAGACAGCCAAGGGTCTTGAAGACAGCCAAGGGTCTTGAAGACAGCCAGGAGTCTATTGGTGTCAATCTACAATATATTTTAGCATAAAAATACCTGTTAAGCTGCTGCTGGAGATGTGTTGAGTTAGACAGCTGGTGACTGAGGTCTGCCGCCTCCTGTCGTGATGCCGTCACTTCACTGCGTAAACTTGTAAACAATTTCTCAGTTTCACTCCGTTCCGCCTCGTAAGTCGCCACCTATGCAAATATTATCAAAGATTATACCACTGTCATTATTGAGGAAATGACTATGATTATACTACAGGTATTACATAGATAATAACTATAATTATACTAGTCATTATAGAGACAATAACTACAATTATACTACTGGCTTTATAAATCTGTAAGTAAGTGTATTTTCAGTAGACTCATATGCTGTATATTATTTTTCTATCCCCAAAAAATTGTTTCTACCATCCACTACTGACTTTCTTTTTCAGAGATGTAGATTCCTCCAGCAGAGCTGCACGCTTCAGCTTCAGAGCCTCCAACTCTGCTGACAGCCGGTTGAAAGCAGACCCTCTGCTCTCGTTAGCTTGCCGCTCCATGATAAGCCGGGCTTTCTCCTCCTTAAGCTGCATATCTACGAAAAAGGGTAATAAATCTACAGTCAGCGCTCTTATGAAGCGGTTCTATGTACGTACAGCAGTACCCTGGAACCTAACCTGCTGTATAAGTGGGGTCCTCCTGTACAGCAGCAGCCCAGAACCTAATCTGCTGTGTTAGTGGGGCCCTACAGTACACAGGAACCTAACCTGCTGTATAAGTGGGGCCCTCCTGTAGTGGCAAATGGCCTAAATTATTATTATTATTTTTGTTAGATTTAGGGGAGTGCTAAACCCATACGGTCATAAAAATTTTGTCTGATCCAAGGAAGTAGGGGATAATTACAATTTGTAGATTCAACAGTCTCCTAACACCATCAAGGAACCTGCCTTGAGAGAAGCCAAGATAAAGAATTAATAATAAACAGATGTATAATACTGTAACTAAAATACAGTATTTGTAAAAATAAATAAACAATAGCATCCCTAAAATATCTATAAAAAATACGTGCACAATACCATCCCTAGAACATCTGCAAAAATATGACGTACAATACCATACCTAAAATATCTGTAAAAAACAGACATACAATACAATACCTAAAACATCTTCAAAAAATAGATGTACAATACTGTACCCAAAATATATGTAAAAATATAACATACAATACTGTACCTAAAATATTTGCAAAAGTAGATGTATAATCTATCTATCACTGAAGACGGTGGCCAAGGCAGAAACAAAAGATCTTTTTACATGTAGTAATTTGTAAAGGTGTTACCAGCCCCTTGCAGCCGACATTTCAGTGGCCTCTTATGACACGCTTGGCTTACGGAGGAAGGCTTCTAACCCACTTACCCGTGGAGTGCAATGCCGTACCTAAAATGTTTGCCCTGGAGTTCTCGCTGTCCCTGGTGGTACGCACAATACTCTCAGCTTCATCTTTGACGGTCTTCAACTCCTCCTCATGCTTCGTAATCTTTGTTAGTGCTCGGTCCAGCTTCCCTTGAGTTTCCTGTAATAATAATAAAAATAATACGTAATAATAATAATAATAATACATAAAAATAATAATCGTATTTTATTTCAGCACGATACAATGTGCGGACATGTAGAGAGAATGGAGCGAAACAGAATGACTTCAAGAGTGTATCAGTCTGTAGTGGAAGGAAGGCGGGGTAGGGGTCGGCCTAGGAAAGGTTGGAGGGAGGGGGTAAAGGAGGTTTTGTGTGCGAGGGGCTTGGACTTCCAGCAGGTATGCATGAGCGTGTTTGATAGGAGTGAATGGAGACAAATGGTTTTTAATACTTGACGTGCTGTTGGAGTGTGAGCAAAGTAACATTTATGAAGGGGTTCAGGGAAACCGGCAGGCCGGACTTGAGTCCTGGAGATGGGAAGTACAGTGCCTGCACTCTGAAGGAGGGGTGTTAATGTTGCAGTTTAAAAACTGTAGTGTAAAGCACCCTTCTGGCAAGACAGTGATGGAGTGAATGATGGTGAAAGTTTTTCTTTTTCGGGCCACCCTGCCTTGGTGGGCCACCCTGCCTTGGTGGGCCACCCTGCCTTGGTGGGCCACCCTGCCTTGGTGGGCCACCCTGCCTTGGTGGGCCACCCTGCCTTGGTGACCACCCTGCCTTGGTGGGCCACCCTGCCTTGGTGGCCACCCTGCCTTGGTGACCACCCTGCCTTGGTGACCACCCTGCCTTGGTGACCACCCTGCCTTGGTGACCACCCTGCCTTGGTGACCACCCTGCCTTGGTGGCCACCCTGCCTTGGTGACCACCCTGCCTTGGTGACCACCCTGCCTTGGTGACCACCCTGCCTTGGTGACCACCCTGCCTTGGTGGCCACCCTGCCTTGGTGGCCACCCTGCCTTGGTGACCACCCTGCCTTGGTGACCACCCTGCCTTGGTGGCCACCCTGCCTTGGTGACCACCCTGCCTTGGTGACCACCCTACCTTGGTGACCACCCTGCCTTGGTGACCACCCTGCCTTGGTGACCACCCTGCCTTGGTGACCACCCTGCCTTGGTGACCACCCTGCCTTGGTGACCACCCTGCCTTGGTGGCCACCCTGCCTTGGTGACCACCCTGCCTTGGTGACCACCCTGCCTTGGTGACCACCCTGCCTTGGTGACCACCCTGCCTTGGTGACCACCCTGCCTTGGTGGCCACCCTGCCTTGGTGACCACCCTGCCTTGGTGACCACCCTGCCTTGGTGACCACCCTGCCTTGGTGACCACCCTGCCTTGGTGACCACCCTGCCTTGGTGACCACCCTGCCTTGGTGACCACCCTGCCTTGGTGACCACCCTGCCTTGGTGGCCACCCTGCCTTGGTGACCACCCTGCCTTGGTGACCACCCTGCCTTGGTGACCACCCTGCCTTGGTGACCACCCTGCCTTTGGTGACCACCCTGCCTTGGTGACCACCCTGCCTTGGTGACCACCCTGCCTTGGTGACCACCCTGCCTTGGTGACCACCCTGCCTTGGTGACCACCCTGCCTTGGTGGACACCCTGCCTTGGTGACCACCCTGCCTTGGTGACCACCCTGCCTTGGTGACCACCCTGCCTTGGTGGCCACCCTGCCTTGGTGGCCACCCTGCCTTGGTGACCACCCTGCCTTGGTGACCACCCTGCCTTGGTGACCACCCTGCCTTGGTGACCACCCTGCCTTGGTGGCCACCCTGCCTTGGTGGCCACCCTGCCTTGGTGGGCCACCCTGCCTTGGTGACCACCCTGCCTTGGTGACCACCCTGCCTTGGTGACCACCCTGCCTTGGTGACCACCCTGCCTTGGTGACCACCCTGCCTTGGTGGCCACCCTGCCTTGGTGACCACCCTGCCTTGGTGGCCACCCTGCCTTGGTGACCACCCTGCCTTGGTGACCACCCTGCCTTGGTGACCACCCTGCCTTGGTGACCACCCTACCTTGGTGACCACCCTGCCTTGGTGACCACCCTGCCTTGGTGACCACCCTGCCTTGGTGACCACCCTGCCTTGGTGACCACCCTGCCTTGGTGGCCACCCTGCCTTGGTGACCACCCTGCCTTGGTGACCACCCTGCCTTGGTGACCACCCTGCCTTGGTGACCACCCTACCTTGGTGGCCACCCTGCCTTGGTGACCACCCTGCCTTGGTGACCACCCTGCCTTGGTGACCACCCTGCCTTGGTGACCACCCTACCTTGGTGACCACCCTGCCTTGGTGACCACCCTGCCTTGGTGGCCACCCTACCTTGGTGACCACCCTGCCTTGGTGACCACCCTGCCTTGGTGACCACCCTGCCTTGGTGACCACCCTGCCTTGGTGACCACCCTGCCTTGGTGACCACCCTGCCTTGGTGACCACCCTGCCTTGGTGACCACCCTGCCTTGGTGGCCACCCTGCCTTGGTGACCACCCTGCCTTGGTGACCACCCTGCCTTGGTGACCACCCTGCCTTGGTGACCACCCTGCCTTGGTGGCCACCCTGCCTTGGTGACCACCCTGCCTTGGTGACCACCCTGCCTTGGTGACCACACTGCCTTGGTGACCACCCTACCTTGGTGGCCACCCTGCCTTGGTGACCACCCTGCCTTGGTGACCACCCTGCCTTGGTGACCACCCTACCTTGGTGGCCACCCTGCCTTGGTGACCACCCTGCCTTGGTGACCACCCTGCCTTGGTGACCACCCTGCCTTGGTGACCACCCTGCCTTGGTGACCACCCTGCCTTGGTGACCACCCTGCCTTGGTGACCACCCTGCCTTGGTGACCACCCTGCCTTGGTGGCCACCCTGCCTTGGTGACCACCCTGCCTTGGTGACCACCCTGCCTTGGTGACCACCCTGCCTTGGTGACCACCCTGCCTTGGTGACCACCCTGCCTTGGTGACCACCCTGCCTTGGTGACCACCCTGCCTTGGTGGCCACCCTGCCTTGGTGACCACCCTGCCTTGGTGGCCACCCTGCCTTGGTGACCACCCTGCCTTGGTGACCACCCTGCCTTGGTGACCACCCTGCCTTGGTGACCACCCTGCCTTGGTGGCCACCCTGCCTTGGTGACCACCCTGCCTTGGTGACCACCCTGCCTTGGTGACCACCCTGCCTTGGTGACCACCCTGCCTTGGTGACCACCCTACCTTGGTGGCCACCCTGCCTTGGTGACCACCCTGCCTTGGTGACCACCCTGCCTTGGTGACCACCCTGCCTTGGTGACCACCCTGCCTTGGTGACCACCCTGCCTTGGTGACCACCCTGCCTTGGTGACCACCCTGCCTTGGTGACCACCCTGCCTTGGTGACCACCCTGCCTTGGTGGACCACCCTGCCTTGGTGACCACCCTGCCTTGGTGACCACCCTGCCTTGGTGACCACCCTGCCTTGGTGACCACCCTGCCTTGGTGGCCACCCTGCCTTGGTGACCACCCTGCCTTGGTGACCACCCTGCCTTGGTGGCCACCCTGCCTTGGTGACCACCCTGCCTTGGTGGCCACCCTGCCTTGGTGACCACCCTGCCTTGGTGACCACCCTGCCTTGGTGACCACCCTGCCTTGGTGACCACCCTGCCTTGGTGGCCACCCTGCCTTGGTGACCACCCTGCCTTGGTGACCACCCTGCCTTGGTGACCACCCTGCCTTGGTGACCACCCTACCTTGGTGGCCACCCTGCCTTGGTGACCACCCTGCCTTGGTGACCACCCTGCCTTGGTGACCACCCTGCCTTGGTGACCACCCTGCCTTGGTGACCACCCTGCCTTGGTGACCACCCTGCCTTGGTGACCACCCTGCCTTGGTGACCACCCTGCCTTGGTGACCACCCTGCCTTGGTGACCACCCTGCCTTGGTGGCCACCCTGCCTTGGTGACCACCCTGCCTTGGTGACCACCCTGCCTTGGTGACCACAATGCCTTGGTGACCACCCTGCCTTGGTGGGCCACCCTGCCTTGGTGACCACCCTGCCTTGGTGGCCACCCTGCCTTGGTGACCACCCTGCCTTGGTGACCACCCTGCCTTGGTGACCACCCTGCCTTGGTGACACCCTGCCTTGGTGACCACCCTGCCTTGGTGACCACCCTGCCTTGGTGACCACCCTGCCTTGGTGACCACCCTGCCTTGGTGACCACCCTGCCTTGGTGACCACCCTGCCTTGGTGGACACCCTGCCTTGGTGACCACCCTGCCTTGGTGACCACCCTGCCTTGGTGGCCACCCTGCCTTGGTGACCACCCTGCCTTGGTGACCACCCTGCCTTGGTGACCACCCTGCCTTGGTGGACACCCTGCCTTGGTGGCCACCCTGCCTTGGTGACCACCCTGCCTTGGTGACCACCCTGCCTTGGTGACCACCCTGCCTTGGTGACCACCCTGCCTTGGTGGGCCACCCTGCCTTGGTGACCACCCTGCCTTGGTGGCCACCCTGCCTTGGTGACCACCCTGCCTTGGTGACCACCCTGCCTTGGTGACCACCCTGCCTTGGTGACCACCCTGCCTTGGTGGCCACCCTGCCTTGGTGACCACCCTGCCTTGGTGACCACCCTGCCTTGGTGACCACCCTGCCTTGGTGACCACCCTACCTTGGTGGCCACCCTGCCTTGGTGACCACCCTGCCTTGGTGGCCACCCTGCCTTGGTGACCACCCTGCCTTGGTGACCACCCTGCCTTGGTGACCACCCTGCCTTGGTGACCACCCTGCCTTGGTGACCACCCTGCCTTGGTGACCACCCTGCCTTGGTGACCACCCTGCCTTGGTGACTCTTGGGCCACCCTGCCTTGGTGACCACCCTCCTTGGTGACCACCCTGCCTTGGTGACCACCCTTTGCACCTCCTGGTGACCACCCCTGCCTTGGTGACCACCCTGCCTTGGTGACGCCACCCTGCCTTGGTGGCCACCCTGCCTTGGTGACCACCCTGCCTTGGTGACCACCCTGCCTTGGTGACCACCCTGCCTTGGTGACCACCCTGCCTTGGTGACCACCCTGCTTGGTGACCACCCTGCCTTGGTGACCACCCTGCCTTGGTGACCACCCTGCCTTGGTGAC